GCCCACCAGCCCCCCAAGTGAGCTCATTTCTCCCCCCAGAATAGAGAGAGAACAAGACCAATAAAGTTACCTTCATAGGAAAAAGGAAAAGGCCTCTAGCTGCACCCCTGCCAAGCCGTTCCTTTGATTAAGGTCTAGATTCTGCCGCACTTTAAGAGCCCTGGAGCCTGGGCCACGCTAAAGTGCTTCAGGATCCAAACGGAGCCCTGTCTAGAATCCCACCAGGTCTTCACAGATTACTTTTTCAATAACAGTTAAAAGACTGCCCAATGGGGCTTAACAGGAAACTCCTCCCAAGGTCGTATCTCCAAGGAGGTTGGAACCGCGTGGCGCCGGAGCAGAGCAGCGGGCTTGTTTCTAGAGCGTGGGTGCCCCGTCGTCAGCTGCCGGGAGTTCGCGGCTCACCGCTGACACTCGCAAAATGCCTTCCTGCAGCTCGCTCTTCCTCCGCTCGGCCGCAGGGCCACGGCTGTCATCCCGTGTCATCTCCGTGTGAAAGACAAGGAAGCCACAGAACAGAGGCAGGAGGTGCGGGGGAGGGCGCAGCCTGGGGTCCAGGACTGTGTCCCCTCCAGCCCCACATCCGTCTGCCCCCAGCACTTGGGTCACGCAGGTAACACAGAAACCCACCATTACTGAGGCAGGCTGAGCCGTGCCTCTAACTGGAGGGTGTTGCAGGGGGAGGAGACCTCGTTAAATGTAGCAGCAAATGGTGGCCTGGTCGCCATCACTACCCCATGGCTGGGACACACAGACCAAGAGGGAGAGGTGCAATCCTGGCAGCTGAGCTCCCAGGGAAGGAGACACTCTACCGCCGCAGGGCCGGCCGGCACTGTTCCTAGGTGTGTCCCCTGGCTGTCGGGCTACGCGCAGGCTCCCAGACCCAGCCTCACCCGTGCCTGACTGTCCATGTTTCATGATACACAGAGGTGGCAGTCGCATGGCTCTGCAGAGTGTGCCAGTGCCCTCTCCACGCGGATGCTCTAGGAGATGGCGTGGGGCAGCCAGACGACCTCTGGCTCCTGGCCTTGACTGAGCCTCTGACAACCAGCCCCACCTGGCCTGAGCCCGGGAGCCCAGACAGGAGTGCCCAAGTGCTTGCTATGAGCCCTTTGCAGGCAGAACATGGTGCGCCGTTGCCAGGCATCGTAGCTGTAGGTCTTCAGAGCCTATGCAGATGAGGGGGCCGCGGGCAATGTTTCCAACGCGACATTTTCAAGGTTTGGTTAAAACCCAGCTGAGGTTGCTGAAGAGGAGGTAAGTGCCTGTAACATGCAAAGGAGGTGGTGCTTCCAAGGAGTCATGTGAGGACACTCACACAGACTGACGTCTAGTTCATGAAGGAACTGGTGAGACGGGCCGTTTCTCCACACAGATAGTGATGCGCGACGCTCAAGGAACTTTAATTACGTAATAATCATTCAATTAGCAAGTCTGGGTAAGAGATAGAGAGGGATGAAGGGCCCAAGGCCAACAGTCCAGCGTTACACTACCACCACCTCTCACAGCCCCAACTCCCACGTCTGTGCTACTGAGTTTAAAAATAAACTTTTTTTTTTTCGGGCCGGCCTGGTGGCACACTGGAGAGTGCGCCGCTTGGGAGCATGGCGGCGCTCCCGCCGAGGGTTCGGATCCCATGTGGTGACCGGTTCCGCTCACTGGCTGAGTGCGGTGCGGGCGCAACACCGAGGGTTGCGATCCCGTTGCCGGTCCCCGGTACGGGCACGACACCGAGGGTTGCGATCCCGTTACCAGTCAGTAAAAAAGACAAAACGGAAAAATAAAATAAAATAAAATAAAAATAAACTTTTTTTAAAAAAAGATGACTGGTAAGGGGATCTTAACCCTTGACTTGGTGTTGTCAGCACCACGCTCTCCCAAGTGAGCGAACCGGCCATCCCTATATAGGGATCCAAACCCATGGCCTTGGTGTTATCAGCACCACACTCTCCCAAGTGAGCCACGGGCCGGCCCTGAAAAATAAACTCTTAAGTGCCTTTGCTGACCCCTACAGGCACCCCGGGGATAGGCTTGGAAGCCCAGGTCAACCTCATGTGGCACATTCGATGAGGGCTCAAGCAAGTCCAAGCACCCTTCTCCCCTGCCACCGTCCAAGCCCCCACCTGTCACCACGACCACATCCTCTCCCACCTGGTGGACGTGATCAGCAGAAGCCCCCCAGCGTGCCCTCTGCCAACGAGGCATTGGAGAACTCGGTGCCCTCCTGTAATGTGGTATGATGCGATGTACAACACGTGTCTGTGGGTGCTGCATCCGGACTTGACCCCACATCTCCCCCCAGACCCAATCTGGGTGCCACCCCCAAGCAGAGTTCAGGAGACAAATACCAAAGTGACATAAATCCTGCAAACTGCCCTGGGCACTGAGCCCCACGTCCAAGGGCACCTAACGCAAGGAGCATCAAACATAAAAACCAGGCAGAGTGCACAGCTCCAGGCAGCAGTAGGGGACCCAGGAGCCTGACCCTCTCCTGGCCCGTTACAACCCCACCCACCCCAGATACTGCAAAGTGAACCCCTGCAAACCATGTGAAAACATTAGTTGGCTGGGAAAGGAGTGAGCTGGAGGCAGTTACAGCACGTGGTCAGGGTGACAGATGCCGAAGGCCAGAGGCCCTGCCCATGGCTTCTCTGTCTGGGTGGGTGTCGCGTTGGATCGAGGGGGGCAGTTCTTGGTGCAGAGCAGACGCCCACTCCTGGGGTCTGAGGACACCTCCTTGCCACATCCGCAGGGGAGCGACCCTGGCCTGGCTTGTGGCCCCAGGTGCTGGAGACCCCGATCGAGCATCACTGTAGGGACATCGAGACTGCCTCAACTCGCCCCCTGACTGTTGACTTGTTTCTTCTGCCTGAAGATTTTCTTCCTTATCCTTGAAGTTCAATAACAACCAGGCTGCATCTCGGTGTTGTCTTTTCTAAACCAAGTGTCCCTGGAGGAGAGATGCTCCTGGACTCTCTCCATGGCTGGGGTCCCCTCGGCAAGGACAGGACAACCCTCGTGCTAGACACACTTGTCTGGCCTCCACACATGTCATCTTCATCCTGAATGTTGTGACACCTTGTTTCTTCCTCTGCAACTGCCTATGATTACCTCACACCGGAAGTCCCACGTGGGCCCCTCGGGCACCAACGGATGTGGGCAAGGGCTACTGACGGCTGCAGAAAGCCGCTAGGTGAAAAGTACACGGGGGCTTTGATAATGGATCAGGCTGATGTCTGAAGCCTCGGATCGACCTTGGCCCCACAGCAGCAACACTTCCCGCCACCCGTGCTGTCCAGAGTACCCACTCCCTGCCCGGATCTTCAAGCCCCCAGAGCCGCACTGATCCAAACGGCTATTTCACTTTAACTTAATTAAATATTGGGTTCCTCAGTTTCACTAGCCACATTCAGGTGTTCCGTGGCCACGTGTGGTTCCCATGTCAGACAGTGCAGATATGGAACATCCTCGTCACTGCAGAAAGTTCTAGATGGAGGAGTAGTTAACCAGCAGCGTCCAGAACATGAGAAGCCCTGAGGGCAATCGGCCCAGATCCGTCCACAAATGGCTTTCCAGGGGGCAGAGAGGGTGAAGGGAGCTCAGGAGCCCCAGGGCCCGTTAACCAAACGCCACCTGCACTCCTTGCCTGGACCCTGATTGGAACAAACCAACCCTAAACACACCTGGGGACCACCAGGGAAATGTGAACACCTGGCAGAACGTTTGATGATGTGAAGACACCACTACAGGTACGTGGCCATGGAAACGGAACTGTGCTGTGCTGTATTTGAAGGAGTGGCACCTTCTCTTCCAGAGGGGACACTTGAGTTCCTGTGGATGCAATAATATGACGACCGGGAATCTCAGGGGACAGCAGCCAGGGCTGGGAGGGAGTAAGTGAAACAAGATTGTGCTCGAAGAATAAACACGTAATAAATGTCTCGTGGCGACACAAACCAGATGCCGAACAACCCTTTCTTCCTCGACCAAAGGCGGGCACGGAGGACAGCAATATGCTTGCTCTTCCCAGTGACGTGTCTCCTGGACTTTTAACCTTTTATTTGACCTTTGGCTCCTGAGCTGCTGACGGTGTGCTACACAATGGACCAGAGAAGCCAAACCCAGCTGCGGTCCCCGTGTCCATGCAGTCGGTGATGACTGCGGCCCCTGCACATTACACAGACTTCAGAGATCAGCAGAGACTCTAGGGTCCGGCCTGCTCCTCAGTGGAACTCAGATGGTCAATATTAAGCTAAACACCTTCTGAGTGACCAGAGTTCAGACCAGGAGCCCAGTCTGCGAGCTGCAGTCCAAAGCTGTTCTCTTCATTCACCCAAATGGCTCTGGTTACTTTCCCTTCATTTCCTCTGTTCCAGCCTCAACAGACATGAAGGGTCAGGCCCAGGTGAGGCTCAGGTGGGAGCAAGGCTCCCGTCGCAGACCCTGCTGGGCTGCCTGGCGCCTCACTAGGAGCGCTGGGGGCAGTAAGGTGACGACGTCTCCCGTTCTGCGTACAGTCAGGGTGGGGAGAGGGTTTCAACTGAGAACGATCAAGAGCGTTGCTTAGGTGCGACTGGCCTGGGGGGGTTGAGAAAGCGTCCCCAGGGGCAGAGCCTGAGCCGGCCTCAGGGCAGGAGGTGAAGGAAGGATAAGGATAAAAAGTGGGGTTGTGGGAAGCCTCCCGGTGGCCTGCGGAGAACTGGGCCGGGGAGAGCGGAGGAAAACCGTCCCATCGGCTCACACGCCCGCCGGGAGAGGTCGCGTGCAAATATGTGAACAAAGCCAGGACGGGGACAGCTCCAGGCTTCCGCTGTTTTATAAGGCGTGTTTCATCATTTTTTATCATCACCACATGAGAAACAAATGTATTTCCCTAACTGCACCAACTAGATTTTGAGTATACCCTAATTCCTCAGAAAGGAAGACGCCTCAAACGCTAAGAACGTGAACGTGCAGGACGGACGCCTGAGAGCCGAGCCCGCGGGAGCAGCGGGGCTCACCTTGTCCACGTGTGCGTGCCAGTACTCGTCGTGAGCCGTCCGCGCTTCCGTGCTGTTCATGCGGGAGAAGAACGTGGGCTTCGTCAGGTGCAGCAAGGACGAGCTGATGCCAAAAGCGTCAGCGATCGTGAGCTGGACCTTCCGCCGCACATGCCTGCAGGGGACACAACGTGTCACTCGGGAGCAGCTCAGCCTGAGAGGACAGGGGAGGGTTCTCTGTGGGTTCCCTGGTGCCCTCACACAGACAAAGACCAGAGGAAGGCAGGAGGATGAACAGGCACACGCACGGCAGCCCTGAACACATGGCACTGGCTATCCTGTGCACAAGCAGGAACCCGTCAACCAGTTCCTGCAGGAGTGATCACAGCATCACTGCCTGCAGCCTGGAGGAGGGTCGCGCCGTGCACATCAGGGCTGGATCCGGCAGGAGGAAGGGGATCCCCTGCCCCCGGGGGCTGGGCTCTAAGCCCTACACATGCAGCTGCGTGACTTGGGGCGTCTGGGGCGTGGTTCACCACACCAGTATCCACAGTGGGCACTAGCCCCTCCCTAGACTGCAGCTGACCAGCTTTGATGCTTTACGCAACTCAGCAGAGCCAGGAGTCACAGGGCTCCAGGGAACCAACTCCTTCCAGGAGGCCACAATGCAGGGGGCAGAGCTGGAGAGGCTGACCCGCATCTCTCCAGTGTGCACATACATACACCTTCCTACATGTCTACCTACCTACATACCTACACACACACGCCTATCTGCACACCTAGGTACATACACATATACTGACCTACCAGTGTGCACATACATACACCTTCCTACATGTCTACATACCTACACACACACGCCTATCTGCACACCTAGGTACATACACATATACTGACCTACCTATTATATACACACTGACATACACGTGTACCTACCAACCTGCCTGCATAATAATATGTGCACACACACATCTACCTACATACCTACCTACACACATCATACAAAACTGTATACACACCACACACATACATGTACACATGTGTACACACATGCGTGTGCATAATACATGCCTACATAGCTGCATACACACAAACATACCTACATACAGACCTACCTAGGTGCATATCTACATACGTACCTACAAAATATATAATAAACTAAGTCCTAAAACCATGTACCAAGCAAGCCCGAGCACAACCGCACACAAACCATTCTAACATTTCCAGACCACAGGTTGCTCCTTCAACAGGGGCGTCCCAAGCTGAACGGTGCTCCCATCTAGACAAGGACTGTCACCAGGGACTACAGCAAACCCTTCCAAGAACTCCCTGGTGACTTGTCTCAGTGATTAGAACATTTATCTCAATATCAGTAATTACGTTCATGGAACTCCTGCTGAACCAGCAACTACATTCAAAATGTTCCTAACCCTTCAATAGGGTACGGGGTCTGTTTGCATCAACATCTCTATTACCGACCAAGTCATGAGATGGTTTACAGGAACATCACTTATTCAGTTGGCTTAATTTTCTTGATTTTTGTTCACCTTCAAATCTCAGAGCTCTGCAAACATTCAGCCAAATTTCAGTTCAATAAACTGAAAGAACTTAAAAGTTAGTGATATTCTTCAATGTCATCGAGCAACAAACACTTTTCATATAATGCCCTGGATAATCTAATGCCTTCCTCTTGCAGCGGATACTTTGTTCTCCAAACGGCAGGTGCCTGTTCTGTCTCTTCAGTACCTTCTGCCCATCTTTCAGGGCTTCAATCACCCTGATGACTTGTCAACTTTACAACACGACTGCCAGAGGCTTGCTGTCGTCTGCAAGGCTCCTGGCTGCCCAGGGAGGACAAAGGTTAAAAAGACAGATTGCCAGGGTTTCTCCACCGCTGCATCACGTATGACTGCAGATGGCTGTTTTCTTTGGGCTGACTTTACACGCAAGAGGTCTCTGACCCGTGACTCGGTCGCCCAGGACTCCAGGCATGACAGGGAGCATGTGCTGGAGCAGGAACATACCCTGCGACGTCCAGGTTCACAAAGCTGCTTCCACGAGCCTGCCTGGTGGGAATTCACGCCTGCCCTCCCGCGGGGCCTCCCCTTGGCCGGACGCTGCAGCCCTCACCCGCCCAGCCCACGCCAGCCTCTCGTCTGCCCCTTTCCCTCCTTACCGGTATAACCGGAAGTCCTCCTCCGAGAAGACGTTGTGTATTCTATCCCCGAAGTATCTGTGAAGAAATAAGGAGCATTAACAAATGTAACAGTTTATTAATCTTTTCCTCATTTCTGGGCCGGCCCATGGCTCACTTGGGAGAGTGTGGTGCTGATAACACCAAGGCCACAGGTTCGGATCCCATATAGGGATGGCCGGTTAGCTCACTTGGGAGAGCGTGGTGCTGACAACACCAAGTCAAGGGTTAAGATCCCCTTACCGGTCACCTTTAAAAAAAAAAAAGAAATCTTTTCCTCATTTCCTTTAAATTCAGTCTTTCCTCAAGCTAACCAGCAAGTTCCTGGAAATTGACTTCACAGGTCGTTATTATCCTAGAGCTACTTCGTTTCTAAAATAACTGTTGGGGCCGGCCCAGTGGCGCACTCGGTAGAGTGCGGCGCTTGGGAGCGTGGCGGCGCTCCTGCCGAGTGTTCGGATCCCATATAGAGACTGGTCCGCTCACTGGTTGAGCGCGATGCGGGTGCGACACCGAGGGTTGCGATCCCGTTGCCAGTCGCAGTACGGGCGCGACACTGAGGGTTGCGATCCCATTACCGGTCACGAAAAAAGACAAAAAGGAAAAAAATAATAATCAAAATAAAATAAAATAAAATAACTGTTGTACCAAACGGCAGGCGGGGGAGGGAGCATTTCAGTGGCTCAGCAGAGTGGGGACAGCGTGGACCAAAGCTGGGAAACTCTCAGAGCTGCCGGCAGGTTCTTTAAGGCTCAGTGGCTGCCTGACCGCACCTGCCCTCCTGTTCCCCTTCTCCTGCAGCCCCACACCGGCCTCGGTCAGGCCCCAGTGTCCCAGAGCCCCCGGACACGACACCAGCCTCTTCCCTAGAGCTTTGTGAAGTGGGTCCCGCCCGGGGGTGGGCAGGAGGGAAGACCATCCTGCAGGTTCCTGCCTGTTCCCATGTCCCTGACGAGGGGCCGGCGTGGGACTGAGGACTGGGAGCTGCTGTGACCCCACGCAGCCCCCTCGGCGTGGATCTGCGCCACCCTCGGGCTCTCACCTGTACAGGTTCACGAAGTGCTTCCCGACGGACAGGGCCCCTGAGTGCAAGTCCAGAATAGATGCCTGGAAAAGACGTGCGTGGAGTCAAACGTGAGGCCGAGGCAGTGGGCGGTGGTCGCTTCCAACGCTGCTGAGGTTGAACACAAGCTACTGAGACCAGCTCTCTTAAAACCCTGCTTCATGGGCTTCATCTCCCTGACCAAACCCTCCTGTTCTCTGTGGCCTAAAGAACAAAGACCAAGCTCTTTAACCTAACGTGGGGAAGAACCCACAGGTACGTTTCCTCCAATCACCCGCAGACCCCACGGCTGCATCACGAGCCCACCTCCTCCCTGCGTCCCCTCGCTGCGTTGAGGTGAAACTGACACACAGTAATAACTTCGCGTGTGTGACAAGCTCTGATGCGGGCGCACCCCTGGGGAGTCACCATCACAGTCAAGGTCGTGGGCGCGCACGTCACCCCCACACTTCCTCGCACCCTTTGGGACCCCTCCCCCCGCAGGCAACCACTGATCCGCTTCCTGTCACAGAAACCAGTTTACATTTCCCGGATTTTTAGGTCAAGGGAGCCGCGCAGACTGTGCTCTCTCTGGGTCTGGCCTCTCATGGGGCGTGCCTGCTCTGAGATGCACAGGCGCTGCTGTGTGCACTGTCCCACCACTGCCGAGTGGCCTTTGTTCTGCTGGCACCCGCAGGTGGACGTGTGCACTGCTTCCAGTCTGGAGCCCACACACACGAAGCTCTTTGAGCACCAGTTACAAGACCCCGAGGACAAATGCCTTCATTTCCCCTGAGCAGGCACCTAGCAGAGGGACTGCGGGGTCATATGTTTTTAAGGAACTGCCAAAGGGTCTTTTGTTTTGTTTTGTTTTTTGGTGGCTGGCCAGTAGAGCACCAAAGAGTTTTCCAGCCCTGAACTCCCCACCTCCAAGTCCTTCTGCATGTCCTGGAAGGGAAGCGGCCACCAGCACGTACCACTGTACACCGTCCATGACCTCGTAGGAATGGCCACTACTGTCGCTTACCTCACTGCTAGCCCAGGACTTAATAAACGTTAACCGAACAGGTGTCAACCTGGCTAACTGGGGTCCTTCTGCATGTCCTGGAAGGGAAGCGGCCACCAGCACGTACCACTGTACACCGTCCATGACCTCGTAGGAACGGCCACTACTGTCGCTTCCCTCACTGCTAGCCCAGGACTTAATAAACGTTAACCGAACAGGTGTCAACCTGGCTAACTGGGTGCAGCTCAACTCAAGAGAAAAGAGTTTGAAGAATAAAGTTGTGCAGATAATCAAGGAAATACTTTGAGTTTCTAGCAAATTCTAGTCAAGTCTGTAAATTAATCTTCCTGAAAGTTTCAAATACAGAGACAGGAAAAAAATATGCAGACTGACGGGTCCATGTGGTGACAGTATTCAAAGCAATCACCAAAATACGCAGGGAGAGGAGCAGATCTTTGAAGAGTTCCACACCCTGAACAAGAAAATCAATCTTGAGAAAACCACATGAGAACTCCGGCTAAGGCCAGCGGCTCCAGTGCCGATTCCCAGCATCCTCCTGTCAGGGGAGGAAACCACGGGTGCACCTGCTCGGCGTTGCTCCCTGTGGCTGTGGCCACGCAAGCTGGAGGCCCGAAGCAACACGGGTGTGTCCCCTCACGGCTCTGGAGGCCAGGAGTCCGCGGTCCAGGCGTGGCAGCGCCGCGCTCCTTCTGGCTCCGGGGCAGGACGCCTCCTGCCTCGTCCTGCTCCTGGTGGCCCCAGGCATTTCTTGGCTCATGGCCACATCACTCTGGTGTCCACCACGTCTTCACACGGCCTCTCCCTCCCAAATCTCCCTCTGCCTCTCTTACAAGGACGCTTGTCATCGGATTTAGGGCCCACCCTAAAACCAGGATGATCTCATCTTGTGATCCTTCATTTAATTACATCTGCAAAGATCCTTTTCCAGATCAGGTCATGTTCACAGGTTCTGGGTGGACACATCTTTTGGGGCCACCATCCGACCCCTACGGTCTGACACAGCGGACAACAGTCTCGCAGGGCATGTGCGGAGCACTGGTGTGGAGGTGGTGACGTTCCATCGGAGCAGCTTCTGTCCCGTGGGGCCTTTCTGTTTCTCAGCAGCTCCATGGGCTCTCCTGTTTCCAGAGCTTCTCACTGGGCTCCTATCTCTCTCCCTTGTCAGCTCCCTGCCTGCAACCCCCCGCCTGGAGCATCTAAAATGCCAGTGCGACCTGAAGCAGGCAGACACATCTAAGGACACATTCTTTCCAACAAGGGAACATCTCGCGTCTCTGACCACCTGTCAGGCGCAGCTGCTGTGGTCGGTGCTGGGAAACGCCGTGGAGGACACAGGGCCAGCCCATGCCCTCGGGTGGGGGCCCCAGGGACCTTGCACGGCCGGTGCCTTCTCCTTCACCTCCCAGTGACAGCAAAGTTAATGGGCCAAAAGAAAACTGGGGCAGGAACCACATTCAACTCACCCCTCCGTCGGATCCTCCCAGGGAGAGCCCCTTCTCGGCTATGCTGAGGAGGGAAATAATTTAAAAACAGAATTTAGTCAGTAGAATTATCTATAACATACATAATAAGTTCTGCTCCTTCAGCATTTGTGATGTAAACAACTGTTTAGACCAGAGGACTGGACCTTCAAGGTTAAGGAGTGACTGACAGTATCCTCACCACGGTCTCGTTCATGGCCTATGGCTCAGCCCAGAAGCAACTGGGCTTAATTTCTCGTCTCCAGCATGGAGCTGAGACCTGGGGCTGCGCGGGCCTCGGGCGTACTTGCAGACCGGGCTGAACTGCTCCAGTCCACTCTCCCACAGGTCGCAGGGCTGCTGGGGGTGACCTTGATCATCACCAGCTCAGGAGGTAGCGAGGCCCCGCCCACACTGGGGAGAAAGACCCCCCGCAAGTCATCCGCGCTGGACCAGAGAGGACACCCGAGTCACCACAGGCGCCTGAGCCTTTAACAGGCATCTCACAGCTGCCAGGGGTGCTGACGGGGGACAGGTCGGTCCGTAAGTGAAACCTCAATTCCCCACGTACAGCAGCAGGGGTGCCGCTGGAGGACAGGCTCCCTGGCGGGATCTCGACAGGGCGTGGCACAGATGGAGACCAAACACCACTCCACATGCCCAGAGTCCAAACTTGGCCAGAAAATTGAAACTTTCTTTGAAGGTCATGTTCTTAAAATCTCAACAAGGAAAAATCCAGCATCAACCCCTTCCTACTCTTAGGACAGACGCTGGAACATTATCCAGTGACCGCCGCCCGAGGCTCAGGAACAGGCGAGCGTTTGGGTCCCTCAACAGCTGCAGGAACGGCATCTTCCCCAGAGAGGAGGCCAGGCCCGGAATGTTCTGTCAGCGGCCACACCGCTGAGGGCCATGGCCTTCCCTCCTGGAAACCAGAAAATCCAACCTTGTCCTAGGAAGCATGTAAGGAAATTCCTACGTAATTGTAATGAATTCTCTAAATCCTTTTCTTGGAAGTAATTCTCTGCTTCCCGCCCCAGCCCTGCTTTCCTACTTCTTGCTTAAATCTGACCCACGACGCCCTGGGACAAAGCGCTGGGACGTGTGGTTACCTGCGAATCCGCTCCGCTTCCTCCCTGGTGATGACGCTGTCAGTGATGCCCCTCCCACACCTCCGAGGGGTGCAGCCTGGAGGGACGACAGTCAGTGTGAAATGGACATCCTCCCCAGGAACAACGGGATCGGGTGGGGTGGGGCTGGCAAGGCTCTTCCACAGGACACGGGTGGCCAGATTTGGCTCACACACCCCATTAAATGAGAATTTCAGATCAGCAACAGCGACTTCAGGGGAAGTGAGCCCCGTGCAGTATCTCTGGAGTTCATGTCTCACTGGGCGCCCTGTGCCCCACACTGGACAAGGTAACCCAGAAGCACATGTCACTGCTCCCGACCCCTGGACAGACCACAGAAGTCCCCCAGACATGGCATCAACAACATCCTTGAAAGATCACTGACTACAGGTCTGAGCCCTCTTAAGCACCCATCAGAAAATCCTCCTGGAATAACAAAGCTGAGCTGGTCATTCATCACTGTCCTCCCCAGGGCCACAGCAAGCTGTTCCTCACGCTCTCCTGCCTCTGCCCACAGCTCAGCAACCTGCAGAGAAGCCCAGATGGGGACAGGGCCAGATTCAGGGGGTGGGGGCAGGTCAGGGGGAGTGGGCCAGGGTCAGGGGGTGGGGGGCAGGTCAAAGGAGAGGGGCCAGGGACAAGGCCAGGATCAGGGTGACAGGGCCAGACCAGGGTGATGGGGCCAGAGTCAGGGGGATAGAGCCAGGATCAGGGTGATGGGGTCAAGGAGATGAGGCCAGGGTCAGGGTGAGCAGTGCCAGGGTCAGTGGGAAAGGGCCAGGGTTGGAGGGAAGAGAATGGGGCCAGGTCAGATGTGACAGGGACAGGGCCGGGAGATGGGGCCAGGGTCATGAAGGACGGGGTCAGGGGAGGGGCGACAGAACCTGGGTTGCAGCAGACATGCCATGGTGCGGTAAAGCCTTGTGTTTGGCTCAAGCGCAGGCCAACCCCTGCACAGCGTGAGCCGTGCAGCCTGCCCTGACTGCTGAGGGGTCTGTGGACACTCTGAGGACGCAGTGGGCTTGCTGAACTTTCGCAGCTTGGTTCCATCCCTCTTCCCATCTTCTAGCTTGGAAAGTGAGCCCAGAACCTGGAGGTGGCACCGCTGTCCTGGGACCACATGAGTAAAAGCCACTCACTCGGTGCTGAGTGCGAGGGGCCCAGACCCCAGGGATCAGAGGGCGCCAGGCTGGCCCACAGTGCCTCTGTCTGCACCTTGTCATACGAGACAAAGTTTTATGTGGCTGAATCATCAGGGGAGAAGGGCCTCAGTTACATGTGACTAATAGCCCTACTAATACGGGTGTTTTGTTTTGAAAACAAAAGGCAGCTATGTGCTTTTTATAAGGGTCACCCTGAAGACACGACAACACCGAAGGCAAAAGGCAGATATGATAACAACTGAAAGCAGCAGCTGCCAAGCGACCTCTGTGCCAGCAAACGTGCTCCAAGAAAGACAGTCACTGGGGGAAAGAGGGTTGTGCCAGCAAGAACAGGAACGGTTCACCTATTGACCAGGGTGCAACTGACAGCCCCAGATAGCACCACCTCGAAACACAAACAGCAGCCGGTAGGAAAGGCCGGCCAGAAGACGCTGCCAAATCCACCTGTCACGGAGAAGACTCCAACGCCCCTTCCAGTAACTGACGGGAGGAGAGACGAAACCGGCGAGGACAGAGTGTCCATACCCGTGGGCTCAGAGCTCTACGCACAACCAGTAGGAAACACACATTCCTTCCAGGCACGCGTGGAATATGAACAAAAACAGATCACATATTAGTCCATAAAGGAAGCCTGAGACAATTTCAAAGAGTCTATATCATGCAGATTCTACTACGTAACTCAAATGCAACGTGTTTAGAAATCAATTCTTAAAAAGAGAATCAAGGGCCGAGCCCGTGGTGCACTCGGGAGAGTGCGGCGCTGGGAGTGCAGCAGTGCTCCCGCCACAGGTTTGGATCCTATATAGGGATGGCCGGTGCGCTCACAGCGCTCACTGGCTGAGCATGGTGCGGCCGGTCTCAAAAAGGACAAAAAAAAAAAAAAAGAGAATCAAGGGCCGAGCCCGTGGTGCACTCGGGAGAGTGCGGCGCTGGGAGTGCAGCAGTGCTCCCGCCACAGGTTTGGATCCTATATAGGGATGGCCGGTGCGCTCACAGCGCTCACTGGCTGAGCATGGTGCGGCCGGTCTCAAAAAGGACAAAAAAAAAAAAAAAGAGAATCAAGGGCCGAGCCCGTGGTGCACTCGGGAGAGTGCGGCGCTGGGAGTGCAGCAGTGCTCCCGCCACAGGTTTGGATCCTATATAGGGATGGCCGGTGCGCTCACAGCGCTCACTGGCTGAGCATGGTGCGGCCGGTCTCAAAAAGGACAAAAAAAAAAAAAAAAAAAGAGAATCAAGAACCCCATGAATTTTGAAAATGTAAAAACATGCTTCCAAATAACTCATGGGTTAAAAAATAATAATCGCAGAAATGTAAAATAGTTAGAAAACGATCATGAAAAAACCATACATCAAGTTGCCAGGGATTTGAGACTTCCGTTCACAGTCAAGGTGCAGTAACGGGGACTGGATTTAGCCTCTGGTCCAAAACAACTAAAAACTGGACAAAATATATGGAACCATGATTCCTAAGACCCTGGACATTAGGCAGGGAAAGACAGAGACCCGAGGAGGTGGAAACCTAGCGAGTTAGCACAGAGACGGCACCACCGGGAAGGAGAGCTGCACACGGTGACAGGGGGTCTCGCGAGTCCTCAGCAGAGCACTGACCCCACAGATCAATAGAGGGCATGTGTGTGAGGAGTCCGGGGTTGAGGAAAGAACTATACAGCAAGAGGATCAGAAGAAACAGACGGACGCTCACACAGAGCAGGAATCCGCCGATCTCAGCAGCCCGAGGCACGGTCAAGTGGGCTCAGAGGATCCGACCCGGGCTGGGGGAGATGATCCCTCAACTACACAGGGCTCTGGTCCTCCAAGACAAAGCTTAAAAGCAAGACCTGAAAGGACCGAACTGTTCCCAAGTAACACACCTGCAGCCCGCAGCGAAGCTCAGGAATAGTTACAGGATTTTGAAAACATCCAGCACCCAATGGGATGAAAGTCACAATCTACGTCATCTGATCAAAATTACCAGAGATACAGGGAAGCAAGAAAACAGGACCCATAATGAGGGAAAACAATTCACCAAAGGCAGGAGACAGTGCAAAGGTGGCAGTGGCGATGGGACCCTGCCAGCAGTAACAGCGTCTTGATGTGCATCAGCATCCAGAGCACAATTTAGGGCAGAAATGTGGGCTGTGAACAGTTGACAATGCCAGTGTCCAGGAACACATGTCTCCACACGCGCGGTCACACACACTGCCTGCAGACCATGCTGTGGTGCCTCCCCGTGCCGTCCTGTGTGGAGGGACATCTCATAACCGGCCCCCTCCCCAAGCCACAAGGCCATCGGACAAGACGTGTGCTGGACACAGCAAGCTCACGTCTCTCACCTGAGGGGCGGGAGGAGGAGGGAGAGGAAGGTCCAGAGGATTTAAATACGTCCCAACTCTTTTTCTTCACCGTAAAAATACACAGCATAAAATCCAGCACCTCAACCAGTTGTAAGTGTGCAGTCCGCTGGCGTCAAGCACACACACAGAGCTTTGCAAACGTCACCACCGTCCCTCCCCAGAGCTTTTCCATCCTCCTCAAGTGAAATCCTGTCCCCAGACACTAACTCCCCACTCCGCCCCATCACAACTATTTTTAATATTGATAAATTATTAAATGGTAGAAAGAAAAACTTATCTTCAATGCTAACCACTGAAAAATATTCTTTGAAAGCTGGGACGTTAGGGGAAAAAGTCTACTAAGACGTAGAGAACAGCCACGCAACAGAGACACGCTCGTTTCCCGACCCTGCTCCTCCCACGGCATTCCAAGCTGCACGCCTCCCTCCATGCTCCACTGCCCCCTGAGCAGTCCGCACTTAGGGGCATCACAATGGTGCCCCTTTGTGGAAGAACTTGGCAGTCTTTCTCGGGTCAAGTCCAAAGCATTGCTTCGAATGAAAAAACAAACTGAACTCTCGAAAACCCAGGTGTGCACGCTGCATTTTTAAAACTGAGAACCATCTAGGTGGCACAGAATGTTCAGGAAAACGTAGCAGCCAGAGAAGGCCCCAGGCAGCGGGGTCTGTGGTCAGCCCTGCTCCAGGGCCGTGAGCTCTCCACGGTGCTGAACTCCCCGCACTGGCCCAGGCCCCTAACCCGGCCGCGGGTCGCTCCTTCCTCCTGTCCAGAGCCATCGGCGGAGCTGCAGAGCCAGGCCCGGCCCCAAACAGGGCTAGAACGGGAGCCATGGCCACAGAACTGGGACTCGAGGTGGGGCATGGCCTTTGGCTGTGACATTCCTTGTTACAGCATTTTCTCCAGCATTCTCTATATCAATACTTTCTCTGGCTTCAACCTTCTCATCCCCACCTGTCCCATTCTGTTCCCTCCCTGCAGGCAAACCATCTCCTCCACTGGATAGCGCAGCTTACTAAACACTGACTGGGGCTGGCCGGTTAGCTCAGTTGGTTGGAACGTCCAGCTGATTACACCAAGGTCAAGGGTTCGATCCGGTACTGGCCAGCTGCCAAAAATAAGTAAATAAATAAAGTGTTGACCACGGCCAGGGTGGAGACGGGGCAGGCCCTGAAACACCTGCAGTCCTCAGCCAGGGGAGGGCTAGCCAACCTGAAGTAGGGGAAAGGTCGCCTGCTACCCTCCCCCACACCACGATCAACCTGATTCCCACCAATTCATTGTAGCGAAAGGCAGACTTTAAACACGCTGCATTTCATTTTAGCGTATTACTCTTTCTTGAATCACCTTGGAGCCCACAGCACCATACCTTCAAACCTTCGGTGACTGTCATAGTCCTCGGAGCAGGGCACCTCGATGAATCTGCCTGCCAGGACCTCGCCATGGTGGGCCAGGACCTCAGCGACATCATCTTCGGCCCCCAAACTGCTCCAGAGCAGGAGCGCGGCAAGCACAAAGCCAGCCCCCAGGCCTGCATTCCTCAGCCATGTCCTCTGCCCCTCCCGCAGAGCCCGGTCCTTCTTCATGCTGAGGACAGAAAACACAACCACCATCACCCAAACGCAGCTGCGTGTGCTGAAAACACAGATCAAGACCAGAGAAAACACTCATACTTGAGTACAACCAGCCTCAGGCTGTGCCTACACCAACCTTTTGCCAAGATGGGCCCCCAGTCAATCCAGAAGCTGCCATCGGCTCTCCCCTGCCACCCAAAGCAGGCACCAGCAAGGCAGGTGGTGGGAAATGGGAGCCTCCAACCCAACCCCAGGCTCATCATGATGCCCACTATGCCCCACCCTAAAGGAGAAAAGCAGCTGGGCAGCATGTGGCCCCTGCCCCATCTGGCCAGGCAGGGCTGACTGTGTCCTGTGACAGGTAACAGGATGAAGGTTTCGAGGATTCCCATGGGAGTCTCTCTAATCACATTGCCAGTACCCACAGATGCCTGCCTCACCTCCACACATGCTCCCAGCATGACATAGGCGCGCATGCACACGCATGCAGGACGCAAACCAGCTTGTGTGAGTCAAACCCATTCGACTAGAACCACAAACCAGCCAGGAAGGAACACACGCACACCAGAAACAACCCATAAATAAAACACTTTCTGTACAACCCACGGCTAACCGTGTGGTTCAGTCAGCCTGTGCTGAAGTTGCATGTGCATGCCTGTGTGTGTGTGCGTGTGTGTGTAACTGTGGCAGCCGTGTGCTCTGTGGTCCAGGAAAGATGCCATGAGCATAATATCACACCACGTCTGGTTTTTTTTTTTTGACTGGTAAGGGGATCGCAACCCTTGGCACGGTGTGGTGCGCACCACGCTCAGCCAGTGAGCACACTGGCCATCCCTATATAGGATCCGAACCCGCGGCCTCGGCGCTACAGGTGCCACACTCTCCCGAGTGAGCCACAGGGCCAGCCCCCACGTCTGTATTTTAAATGTCCATCCTGGCAACAATCCTTCAGCAGGTGACATCCACACACAATCCCCAGTGGAGCAAGGAAGCTGCCTGGGTATAATTCCAAGGGAAGAAAGATAAGGGAGAAATTGGATGAAAAAGGTGGCAAGTGGGGTGGTTTTGAGGTGACTTCGAGGACATGCTCTCAGGCTCCAGCAGAGGTTTGAGGGGAGGTCCACGAGGTCTGTCTTGGACATGTCAGGTGTGAAAGGCCGGGGCGGGGGAGGGAGGTGTCCTGGGTGAGGTGTCCACCATGGTTTCAGGGCCTGGAGGGACCGCAGGGGTAGTCACGGGCATGCAGCTCGGGGCAGCAGCGCCGCAGGGGCACACACAACCAGGGGGAGGCAGAGAAGGAAACCAGTTAGGGACAGAGAACAGAAGCGTGACGCCCACGGAGAGCACCGCGAGCGAGGGTGACCCGCCTCCAGCGGCAGGTGTCGCAGAGGCTGTAAACGGGTGCCGACCAACGACCACCGGGACGCACCAACTAAGAGGCTCCGGCGTCCCCTGGACAGCAGGACGCGGCCGGGGTGCGGGGCAGGGAGAGGACAGGAAGGGGCACGTGACTCCTCCCTGGGAAGGGAGGGCCGGGCGGCAGCGGGGGGCGGGGGAGCTCCCTGGGGTTCACCTGCCCGTGCCAGGGCTGCCGGCTAAAGGCCCCCGGCCAGCCTCCCCTGCGACAGGGTCCACGGGCACCGGTGAGAGCTGGAGCGGGCCACAGGTCACCGGGGTGGGCCGCGTGTCCGGGACGCTGTGCTGCTGCTCCGGGCGCTCGATTTCCGACGAGCCAGCGGCGTGGCCTCGGTCCTCCTGCCCCCGGCCCGCTCGAGGGCCCACGACAGCGGCTGCGGC